GGGTTTCCCGGACTTAAAAAATACTTTCAACACTTTCCCATCCGAGGACCAACTTTTGAATAAACTTTTTGTGACCGTGATGTAATTTGCAAAAACAAATCGTATTACGGAAAAGTGGTCCTTCTTTGGGAAAGTGCTCAAAATAATGGAAAACAGGGGTGATCAAGTTTCTCTGAACTGCGACCGGTGTTTCTCGGGTTAGATAAGTTTGTAATTGCCAATATCTATATGTTCTATGTAGCCAAATGTGTAACGCAGTTTACTTGCGACTAGAAAATAAACGGTGCAGGTTCGATTCCTCCTTCAGTTTATTTTTTAAAATATTTAGGCATGTGATCATTTTCCTTAATAAGGCAATAGTGTTTTTTTTAAATCGATGGAACATTTTGTTTTCATTTTAATAACATACCTATTGATTTATCAGTTTTGTTAGTAATAATTTCTTTATTATTTAGTGCGACATACTTTTATCGAAGCATGTCAACAAATCCCTGTACACGTGTACAGTACAGCTACGCTTTGTAGGTAAGACTATTTTTGATGAAATTTATGAATTGTTTTACCCTCCAACTGGCAATAGTAATTATGTCAAGTGCTTAAACACCAACAAATAATGCCGAAATACCAAATATGTGGTCTGTTTACAATTATCTATTCTTAGACACGGGATTCCGATATTGCTACCTGTATAAAAAAAAATACCTGAGGACGCGTCATAACAGTGCACGGTTGGATGCGCGCACTAGCGTAACATAGCTTTGGGGAAATAGGCATAGCAACCCGCCATATCTCTTTAACACTGGGAAAAAAAAAAGGATTGTATCATCACTTATGTGAGGGCTTGTTTACTGCCGAGCGAACGTTTCCCCGTATACTAAAAGGTTCTTATTCAGTGACATTATTTAAATATTATAAATTTATACAATATTAAAAGAAAAAACAATCATTGTATTTTATTTTTATAATCCTAAGTTATTCATCAACAATTAAACAAATCATATTTTGATATTAAACCTAGACTTTTTCAATTATGTGATAGAAGGCAACTTGGCTCAAAATGGGCCGAACAAATGTGTATGCTGTCAGGGCTAAACCCCGAATCACACCGATTTACGGCTGCTATCAATGTTGACCGCCATTCTGCATCTTTGGGAAAGCCAAAGTAATTAATACACTGTCCTGTTTTCTTACTGGAGTTGGTACAACCGACCACACAACAGTGTTTGCCACCCATTGTTTTACCCCTGGAGCAAACCGGAAGTTGCTTTCTATACCACCCGGTGGGGGCGCTGCGAACATCGGGAAGCTCCTTGGTTGATTATAGAGCGTGACGTCATGGAGTCGGCGGTCCCGTTAATTTAGGTCTTTAGGTCTCTGGCCTAATCGAATAATAAAGCGACATGTAATGTAGCAGGAAAATTATATATTCGAACCAACGAATTTTAAAAAAAATATTGACCATATTCAATACACTGGGCGTGTTAGTTTATTTCCACGATTTCTTTCCTTTTGTAACGGAAGGATATGTCATCGGCATGGTCATTAAAAAGCTTACATTAATGTCACAAGCTAATGGCGTCGAAGGGTGCGTAAGAATGTGATTAGATGACCAACTGTATTACCGTCGATTAAATTAGCTTAAATTTTGGAAAGAAATACATAATTTAATACTGACAACTTTCTAAACATACACATTTTCCATCTAAATATTGATTATCGATCGTAACACACGATGGTCATTCCCACTAGGACGGAAATACCCGAATATGTACGAAGCAGGGTCAATGACGAGTTCGCTTGGTTCATTAACGAGGTCAAAGTTTACGGATCGTCTGCTCCAGTGAAACAGAATTGTCACCGACAGCTTTCCAAGGGAAAACGAAAGGTGTTTCAAAGGGTCAAATTGCGGATTTTTCAGTATTACTACTCTTGTTTTTTCTGCATTTATTGTAGAACATTAACTGTATATTCAGTTCTTATTAATTCTTCCATTTGGGGATCGTTTCTGTTGATTTTTTATTTGATCCAAATTTGTGATATACAGTACAGTAGATTTTACAACTAAAACTGTTGAATTTCAATGCTAACGTTAGATCTGCTTGTACAATATATTCATTATTGAATCTAGTTTCATCTAATGCAACCAAATTAACAATCACTTAAAAAGACAAACATTATCTGTACAGTTTTGTACAGTAAAATATCTTTATTGATATTTAGATAAATATAAACTTTAAACGCTTGACAATTTTTACTTCTGTTGAACTGTGTCAATCATTACAGCATTTTGATTAGACATTGAAGTGAACACATTAGGTTGCTCTGCTTTATGAATATCAGTAAAGAAGAGAATTAAAAACATCATATTTTCACCACTTTTATTTTTGTTAACAGATTGCATAATATGCGACTGTCAGCAACCATTTCTAATCAAAATCAAAACTGTTCTGCATATGAAAATTATGATGTACCTGCTGCTGGCAATTATTTTTAATCAACCACATTTAACACCAATATTGACTCAAGAACAACAAGTCCATCATGAAACTGACCATCAATGCCATCAACACAATCATCACTAAAACTTCACTAGCAAATAAATGGTTTTAGCTGATATGCCAATCTATCTCTAGGTATCTTCAAAAACTTGATGACAACAGCGACGATGAAGAGGAGGAATCTCCTGTTGTAGATACCTGGAATTTTTAACGTATATCATCAGTACAAACATTAAATTTCATCATTTCACATGGATTATCTGAATTATTAAAAAGAAAAATCTAAACTCTTCATTTTATACTTATAGTGGTGGGAGACGTGACATTCTCTTACCCTGGACAGATTTATCCTTACTTTTACCGGTGTGAGATTTCCTTGTCTCACCCTAGGGTTGAGACAAGCTACACGTGCTCTTTGCACGTTCTCCACAATAAACCTGACGTCACTGATGTGACCCAGAAGAAGAACTACTTTTATGAGGTCACACACATACACAAGTTCGTCTGCTAATCTTGTCGTGTTTACATTTGACATCAAAGAAGATGGGATTGATTTAAAAATGTTTAAAATATTATGCGTGAACCGTCTGACGCACACATATAATATTAATACGCTATCCACGTGTTCCTGGTTACAAACAATATGCTTCGTCTTACACTTGGACAGGAACAACAGGGTAAGAGAAAAATAATCATTCACCCCCTCGGGGTGAGATAGGGGGATCTCAACCCTGGGGGGAAGATTCTTAAGTTGCCAAACACTCGGCAAAGCCTCGTGTTTGGCAAATTAAGAATCTTCCCCCCTCGGGTTGAGAAGGCGAGTGTTTGGCCCCCCAGGGTTGAGATCCCCCGATCTCATCCCCGAGGGGATGAACGATTTTATTAGTCTCTAACCTGCTGTGTCTAACCAGGGATGTGTACTAACATGCTAAATATATTTAACTCAAAAACAGACCCATCCTTCATGGATTGGTATATCAGCTCAAACCATTTGTTTAAACATTCTGACTACAACTCACAATATCATTTTTATTCTATTTTTTTTTTCAAATGGCATTTGTTTCTTTTGGATAAAAATAATAATACATTTTATTATGAACATACTGGTAGTGTTGGATAAAACAAGAACCAAATGATGATTCTATTACTATCAATGTGGTCTAGTAGTACTGTAGTACAATCAATCAACTTCAAACTAATATGTTATGCGTCATATTGGTGTAGTGTGAATGTGGATCATTCTAAAACAGAGCACACATAAGTACAAAGATGAATGATTTTTCCCAGCAACAGATTCAAGTATATAATAAACAAAAACAATTATAGGTACATTTTTTATATATTAAAATGGGTATTAAATGTTATGATTCCAAAATTATACTATACTATTGAAACAAATGTACGAGCTTCGCTCTCTCCAGGCCATGCCTGAGTCATATTATTTTGCACTGAAACTTCCTTCGGAGCGAAGGGTAACTTTTCATTTCTTTCGAAAGGCAAACTAAACTAAACTACGAACGTAGAAAAGGAGTCGGAGCTGGTCAATCCGTTTCCGGAATACGTAAAAGTACGATAATAAGAAAATGTGATAACATTACACTCCCCGCTTCTGTAGTACAATCTTTCCGAATACCATTTTTTTGTGTGTAAGAACCACCCTCCCACCAATAGATAGTTCAATTTAGTTTGTAGATTTTTGGATAACAATTCGTGTTTATTCTACTTAAAAAATATTGTATAAGATGTTGTCGGTGAGAACTAGTTGAAAACTCCTGCTAAAATCTTCACAATTAGATCATTACCTCTCATTCATTTTTAGAAATTGGTATATACTTTGGTATTATTTGTATAATTATCAATTGATTTTGTTTACGAAATTTAAAAACGTTGTCATTAAACTGAAACAGTACACATTTATCGGCCAATTGTTCAAGTGCCTACACAAGATTTATACCCCAGCTACGCCCCTGATTTTGTAACATTTTCCCAAAACATGTCCAGTCGTTTCAACGAATTCTCACTGCTGGTTAATTGTGAAAGGTTGGCGCCTCCTGAAACACCATTATTTCCGAATTTTACGTCATATTTAAATCAGTTATCTAAATATTTAAATTCAATTTTACCTATTTTTTCACATCGTCAGGAGTGTAACACTTTTTTAATTAGCGACACTGATTGCGAGTAACGGTCCCGTCCCATAAATAAGCATTCACCCATGAAAACACATTTAAACTTGGAATCGTTCATTATGAAATTTCAGGGGTGAATGAGTTAATGGCTTTATGGGTTATCCGAGGTTTTAATGCAATCATATTGCCTTTTATTCTTAGGATTTTGTTTGAGCTGCTTTACGATTGTATACATGTATGTTTATTTTTTATTTTTTTTAAACAATTACAAAGTTGAGGTCGAGGTAAGACCTACCTGGCCGTTCTGCGGCTCCCTATAGCTAGCTGGCACAAGGTAATATAAGTCCCTAGCTGGTACAAACAACACCACTAACACGGTTTCTTACTTTAGCATGGACATTTATTGACGTGTTAACATAGAATTGGACAACTAATGTACGCGCGCGCGTGACAATCTGACAACGATGATGTTGATGACGATGGTCAGTGACGTGTAACATGTTCAGTGATGTGTGACGTGAAGTATGGACCCCTCTCTCACTCCTCCCGGCTCAGCCTACAATGGAAATTTATCAATCAAGTCATCATAGTTTCTCCTGAATGTAGATATGATGGTACATTAAAATACAACGACCCGTGCAATCGCTAGTGTTCATAATCAACGTGATTGTATTTTACATCGTTCATTTTTTTTACCAACATAATGAATGCCTTCATTACAGTGAACTAAGTAAGTACTCGAATAGTTCCAAGGCACCATATTTGTGTCAGAGTTACATTTACACATGCGTTATTCTTGTATAGAAACATGCATAATCTGGAAACCTAAACAAACGGAACATATAACAACTATTTTTAGTTTCAATCTGTTTAGTAAATTGTTAACCCTACATACGTACCTCAGATAACCCTTCTGATTCCCTCCTCACTCCCTTCGGTACCTCCTCAGAAGAACGGCCCGAAGTGGAATACCCTGAGCGGTGGGGCACAACATGTATATATCCAACCACATTCTCCACAAACGTCAAAGTCCGTGTAACCCTCGGGACAGTCACCTTTGTAACATTCGATATCGATCTCCTGGCACGTGACACACCCTGTAAGGATAGACAACTCTGATTACAACAGTGAAATCAATATGTGTATTTATATTCGTAAAATCAACTGCCAACTGTTGCACCATTCTTGTATATGTTATTTGTATTCACTGAAAATGACGTCGAGGCGCAATCAACCGGGAACCGTCGGCACTCTCCGTAAACGGGTATTTTCTCGTTTACGGAAAACGTCGACGGTTCCCGACTGGGCACCTATTTTGAAGTAGCCTCGTTGTCAATACAATTGACCATGTAATCAACTTTATAGAAGAAAAAACCAATACATCTAACAATCGTTCCATTGACATATTGTATCTTGAACTATGTAACCTTGTCGAGTTGAAGATTCAAGATACACGAACTTTATTTAACGTCGCGCTCTACAATATCGATGAAGTACGGTAATGCTTACATTTTACAAAATCCCAGCTTTACGAACACTCAGATTTGTCTAAGGTCGAACAACTCAACGCATACGAAGTATTTTTGAGTCTAGTTATTTAAGCATTGCACTGTTTTCACTTGGCATTCATAGCCTAAATAAATGCCAACTGAAATCGGTAGGGTTATATAGTGAATGCCATGAGATGGTAAATTTAAGCAAATGTATCTTCAATCCTTTTGTTATCAACAACAAAATTTGTTGAAATGAATTCAAAGTCAAATTATAAAATATCTAATCCTGACAAAATACAAAACTAGCAGGAATTCTTGTATGATCCTTAGTTGAAATACGATCATACTTATTCTTATTAAAAGACATTTTTTTTAAAATATTTCCCATAATGTATTTCAAGTTATATTGATGTGGATACAGAGACAGCAATGCCGATGTTCACTAATATCCTATTAAAAACTATCATTAAGCAATTGTCTACGCGGCCTGGCTCGTAGGCATACGTCAAATGGCGATATCGATAATGTTACACTTAATCGCTAAAACTCGTTTTCTTTTTAAAATTCGAAAATAAAATAACCAGCGCCAGATAACTTAATAAACACATACATTTTTGCGGGTCCCCTATATAACCCGAGACATCAGGTAAAACAGATTCGAAATATCTTTGTTTGATCAAATAAAAAGTACATCGTGTTTTGTAGAGAGAGACAAAATCCTGCAACATTTACGCTCGAGGTTGAAAGGAAATTTGAATACAAGTGTCTATATATAGCTCAGAAACCGTTTGATAGACAACACGTAACATCCGTTAAGGATATATGTGACAAATAAAACTTCAATTATATTCGAGTGTACATGCATTGAAGAAAAAAGGTTTTACGATCACATTGATCTACTTTACTACACACGAGATAAAAATGGTAAATATCGTGAAAACAAGATTTACAAGATTTATGAAGCATCACAAAACTTTACCTGAGTATAAAAGAACTATTCCGAAAGCCAGCAATATGCATGCGAGTTTTTCCATGTTGTACACAGCCATAATTGTTCGTCACGGCTACTTCCTGTCTTAAGCGCGTAAGGGTCAACCTCGCTCCGTGCCGTCTATATGTATACCTATGTCATGACGTCACCAGGGTCGGATCTACCGGAACGTGACTGCGGGAACACCATAACAAGGTTTGGAGATGAACTGGACATTTTGATGGATGTCGTGTGGTCAAGATTTAGTCAAAGAGTAAATCTTCCAGTGATAGATATGTACGAAGCGACACACGCCCACCTTTCTGGCCGAATGAAAACCTTCACGGGTTAAAATCGGCAGCTTTCATTAACCCCTGCATTAAATCAAACATTGTTCATTGTTTTCGTCGAAAACAACTATTTCTCGCTTTATTGACGGATATACACCTGTTTAACAGGAAAGACGCGTAAAACCACAAGCATACGTGGATCGCTTACAATAGGTGACATTCTATTTTCACAATTTTAAACAAGGAAGAGTTAAGACTATACTGTTAAATCAGTACTTCTACAAACACGTACCTACAAGCCGTAAATGTTGACCATTGATAACACACATTAAGGTAATCGTTGATAAATATTTGTCACGAAGTTCTGCAAAAAATAATTTCGCCGTCGGAAATTTTAAAAATCAATTCGCCAAATGGTTGTATTCGCCCACTTCACTACTTTTACTAGTGACGTAACAAGACACGTGTCTAAATTAGCCTCGCGTTCAACAGCGAAATGTACTAATATTGAACGGGCGAAATATACGAACATTAATTGAACGGGGCGAAATATACGAATATTGAACGGGGCGAACAGTTCGACTTTTACGCCTTTTACTGTATTTTAGCCAAAGTCCTCTAGATATAGTAGGTGTTTCAAGAGAAATACTAATACAGGCCAGGATAGCTGAACCATGCAAGTTTCGTTTACCAAAATGACGGCTAAAAATAAAGAAAAAACCGAAAACGGAGAGGAAAAATGGGACTTTCCGAGGGACGTCTTGCGTGGACGGGATAATTAATGAGAGAGAGAGAAATTATCGTTACTAATATTGACATGTACAACTAGGCTGTATACATGCTCCTAGCCACTTCCTGGTGGTTCGACATACGTACCGGAAAAAAACCTAATAAAGCGTGATATCAGTATTAGTATAGGACCACGTGACACCAATAAAGTCCCAGGACAATGTCATCAATCTGTTGTTATGGCGACTTCCTGTTTTGTCAGGGAAATATATTTGTTTTGGTCCGGCGATATGTTTTTGGTATTACATCAACATATGTGGTTATTTTACGATAGTGACCACTTGTGATGGGCCGACTGACACAAATAAACGTTGACTTTATTCCGAAAGCGTGCTAACAAAAGGCGACTACCGAAAAGAAATTGTGTTCTACAATTAATGAGAGTCAGAAATAACTGACAATTTACACTCTTTAATTTGTTTTAGTGCTCTGTACTATCAAAACCCCACATACATAAAGAGCGATAGCTTGTACTGCTAATCGTGTAACTGTACCTAGACATTAAACGTTCAACCTTATATTTATGCGATTCCAGCTCTCGAGATTGGGGAACACTTAAACATGTTGAATTCTAGAATAACGTCACTCATTAATTCCAGTCATGAATGGAATTAATGAGTGACGTCATCATCATAGCCATGACTTCATGAAGCGGAATGACGTTGGAAATTTGGAATCTTGGATATTCTCGTCATTTCAGAAATTTTAATAATGTTACAACATATATATGCTGCATACTACAGATGTTGTTTTAAGACATACAAGTCTAGAGCCAAAATGTTTGGTCACTGCATCATAATAGTAGAACGTTGTTAGATCGAAATGACCACTAAAATAAATGGATTCAGCATTAAGTTGGTCTCATTATTTCTGCGATGTTAAGTAGAAGACTGTAACTGAACAAAGTCCACTGAATGGAAATGGACAGTGTATACACACATTCAATGGAACTTATTTAGCAGCGTCATGTGTTTGTTCATTATCACAAGTCCACACCAATTGTAAGTGAAGTAAAACATTGGAAGACATTCTAGTATTGAGGTTCCCAATGATTCAGACCAATGTCAGTTCGCTTTTAAGTTATATCTATCACCCTGTGATATCACATGTGGCTTTAGAGAGACTCGGTCAATTCAGTATACACTTTAGTATTGAAACTGGTATTTATTTCTGGTGTTATTCTTGCTTCACTCTCTCGCAGTGTCCTAACTTTTCAGAAACATGATCATCAAGATTAATAGAATCTGCCCCTGCCCTGAGGGTGGGATAGAGAAATCTCCAACCCGAGGGGTAATGTTTTTTGGTTGTCTAGCCCGAGGTTCGACAACCCGATTGTCTAGGGTTACATTTGTAAATTACAGATTCATCAAATCTAGTTCTTTATTAACTTTAAATCTTAATACTTAAAAGACTTATCAGTGTAAACATATAATAAACAGGATATTTACATGTACAAAAAGCCACATTGGTCACGGGAGAATGAACAACACACATAAGCAATCAATCGGTCATTTATCTGATCGGCGCTTATTTGCCGCTATCGGATACTTTTCAAGATGACAAAATTCTTTAATATTCTGTGTATTAAGTAATTGAACAAGCTTATATAACACTAGAGTTATTTCTATAGTAACATTTTATATATATACTTCCGTCTTAAATCGGTATATCTTGTGCAAACTAAAACAAAATGAAACTCGTCTTCTATGTCATTAAAATAACACTTTGTACATACTCTTTAAGCTCTAACAGTGCCAACATAACGCCCAGATTCAATGTTTAATTTGTGAGCTGACAGCCTAAGTCGAGCAATTTCTTTCATATTACCGATATTTAACTGATTTTGTTAGATACGATTGTAGTAAAATTGTACCGTACTGATACTGTTATAATTTCTGTTGTTAAAGACGTAAATTACAGATTCATCAAATCTAGATATAGAGCTTCAATAACAATCACTGTCAAAAAGAATAAAAAGGAGTCTATTTTCGAAGCATCTGCATCGGCTCAAAATCGGCTTTTTGGCACACAACGTGCACGTGTATAGATGTCAGATCGACTCAAAATCGGTTCCGTGGTACAAAACTGGTTAAAAGTCGTGGATTCACCAACTAAAGTCACGTGATTGCCTACACTGTGTTTGCAGTAGCAGGTCTGTTGAGCATTGCTTTCAACGTAGTCAAATTAAGTCACTGTGATATAGTAAGTATTCCTTCGTTTATCAGCGAGCCAATTAACGGATGAACTGATAAGTCATCTGCGACAACATCAGAGGTGCACGTGGTATGCAAATTCCTGTGCAGACGACCGTGTGAGGCGATCACAGCTGTGCAATTTGTTCTGCGAGCATCAGACTAGATGATTCATTTGCTATGTGAAATGTCCATTCATAAGAGCGGGCGCCGAAGACGCCGGAGCGAAGCTCTTTAATGGTAACACGTGCGTACGAAAATAGAGTTGCTTCTCCTTCCCTAGACTGGCTACCAGTCCCTAAGTTTTTATGAAGAATTTCTCAGCTGCATTTTATTACAAGCCGATCTCCCCCTAGTATAGAACTTAGGTCTAGAATCAGACATCCAAGTGATCAAAACGTTTTGAGTTACATTTTTTTTATTAATAATTTAGTAGATGTAAAGTGCAGCTATAAAACCACACGTTTTTGTACATAACCTTGCATAGTTCGTGTGGTATCGTGTGGACTCATATTTCGTTTGGTATCGTGAGGCTCATATTTCGTGTGGTATCGTGGGGACTCCTATTTCGTTTGGCATCGTGTGTGTTTTTGTATATAACCTTGAATAGTTAATGTGCTATCGTGATACTCATATTTCGTGTGGTATCGTATGAGGTCACATTACATGTTCTATAAAAGTCGCCGGTTTACCTAGGGTTTCAGTAGTACCGCATGACACAGAAACAGATGGGGTGCTCTCGTTTCCCCCACTTTTTATATAACAAAGGAAAACGTTGATTTAGGAAGACAATGGCAAACCAATTATAGTCTGTTTAATACTTACCCCACAGGTAACTTGCCTGTGTGAAAGTTACCTGAAAGTTAACTGTGTGACTTGTAGCTTTGTTGGGGAAAAATAAGGTTTTAATACTTTTTTGAGGTTCAAATATCTTTATATGTAATCGATATATTTTTTATACTTATACATATGCAGAGTTTACAGTCGAATATTTACATTACACTTTTAAACAGATAATATAGAATATAACAGCACTACATAAGAGTTCACAATATATTACAATTCTAAAATACATTACCAATACTCACATATTAAGAATAGTAAAGTTTAGTAATAGCAATCTCAAATTGACCCCCTCAAATGTATATCATATCTCCAATTTAAAGTTCAAGTCCAACAGCCAAGAGGCAGCTGTTGTTATCTATCCCCAATGTAAGAGATGTTATCTTTATTTGATACTTATATATCATGTATTGTGAACTACGGGTGTGAAGTATTATTATTTCTTTATTTCCTCCAAATTGAAGAGTTACAAAAATATACAGTGTAGTCAAAATACAAATAAAATATTATTAATTGATTCTTACATGCACATAAATACATCAGTTAACTACAGAGATGAAGAGAGAAGTTAATGAAACTTGAATTAGTTTAGTAAATACAGAAAGAACAGCAAATCATACAAAATAATTAGAATGCCTGGGAATCCTGAGGTTTCCAAGGGTTGGGGAAAGCCCTACCAACAAGGTCTTCTCAGGCTTACCCACACATAAACACACACAAAATAAGAGAAAAAATAAATAAATAAATAGCTAGACAATGCTATTCAGGCGCGTAGCTGCCTATACGCGAGTACGCAGTTGAATCCACATGATTCTGACAAACAAACAAAAATTCAGCTAAAGTTGCCTTATGCGTACTTGACTGCATGCTTATATCAAACGTTCCTTGTCGTTTCTATACTAAATAGCCATTGAAGACACCTGTTCAAGAAGATGCCATATTTGATGCATTTCATGACGACTTTAGTGGAGATCGTGAAAGCTTCAGACGTGAAT